GATTGTGAGAAAATCGAGGGTCAAACTTTCCAGGATGTTATTATCATTGATGATTCAAATTTCCTGTTTCATTAGGAAATAAGGAACTTGTTGGTCATAGAATATTGAAAGCTAAACAATTTTCGGTATATTTTATTTTCCAGAAAGAAATTTTGAACCCATTTCTCAACCTATGACACATTTGAAAACTGAAATTCTAAGACCGAGATTTCTGGAATAATCCACCTGTTTTTTCGAACATTGCTCACTGATCCCTAGACACTGTTTCCCATCTGAAAGGCCCCAACTGTTATTATTTTGCTTCCTGGAATCAAAAATCTTTGAATTCTCTCGATTGTTTGATTCGGTGCTCTTTTGTACTCTCCTTTCTATTCAACATTTCAATTCTCATTCAAAAATTCAATCCGCGAATTTACAATGTATTCAAATGAATATTCTATGACCGTAGTATGAAGTATGTCTACATGAACTTTGATCATTAAAGAAATCTCTTCAAGATACATTTCGAATCGGAAGAACTGGTCATTTTTAGAGTCTTGGTGTAAGGAAAGCCTCTTTTTTATTCCTATAGGAAGGAATAATTCATTCTCATTAAAAAGAGTGTTTTTGGAGTAAGACTAGGCTTACAATCGTAAATAAGGGGGAAGATATAAATGTGGATTCTGCACGAAAGATGAACGTCATCATGAAGGTGTTGGTTTTTTTTTATTGGACAGAAATGCGGAGATCAAGAAAAAATGGCTATTCAAAATTTGCTGTTTCAAAGTTCCATCAACTTTTCTTTAATTTATTCAAAATATAATCCTGTCTTGTTTGATTTTACCCATTATTTCAGCCCAGTGGTAACCCCAGAAGAGCCATTGTGCCCATCTGACCGTGTTCAACAAGTTTTCGAGCAACTCGCCCAACTCCAAAAAGCCCAACAACGTCTTACCGAATACCTTGCCTCGTGTGCCTATCCAGTCGACGTCACCCCACCGAGAAGCGAGGAGAAACAACACTAGAATGAAATTAGACGACGAACGCAATAACTTTTTCATCGATAGTGCTCTAACCTATTTTGCAATCTCCCCCACCCTCATTCTCAATGAACACAGTTGTTTTTTCGTTTCTCCGTCTTGAATTATTTTTTGGAATAATAATTTTTAGTCGCTCCCCACCCACACATCTTCCATTTCTTCTCCCCGTTCTTTTTTTGGTTCTTCTCAATAAACTCGTGTTATCTGTTGATCTTTCATGAAGAGCCAGATGTTCAAACCAGCAAAATCAATGGGAAATTTTGACATTTTTGAAACTGAATCGCGAATACTGATCCAAAAGAAAAGTACAGGAGTTCAGAGAAATGCGAAACTGGGAACATTGGTTTAAACGCGTACAGGTACTAACGGGTGCCCAGCTAATATTCCGAATGCTTCCAGTTATCCAAGAGTGTTGAAATTCAGAAAATGTTGAAATGTTTCCATATTGGAAACCCCAATCAAAAATACTAAAACAAGGAAACAAATAAACAATATTAATTTTCCAGGAATTAATATTTCGGTACCTTTAGAACTGCAAACTCTGATCTGCACATTCCCACAGGTGTTTGAATGGTCAAAAAGTAACATGAAATTTCGTTGAAGTCTGATTTGTGGCAAAATGTAAACCGATTTTCATTGTTGACAGAAACTTAATAAATGAAGGAAATTGTATAAAGTATTATATGTCGTATCTTGAAAGTATTAATTACAAAAACGACCGAAATTTCTTGGAAATGATCTCATCGAAAATAATTGTACAACCGTGCGGCTAGTTTTATCGTTATGAAAACTGACTGAAAAAGGAATCAGGCGGAATAAGTGAAATACTTGAAACATCGAGTTTAAGAAAGGGTCTGTGAACGTTTCACCAATGCATTCCACCAATACCTCCGAATTATTTGCCATCCCAAACATCTATCACACAGGCAGTACAAGATCTTTAGTTTTTCTAAAAACTTAAAACTGTAATATAACGCTATGGCGCTCTATTTTTCGAAAGGGGTCTTGGGGTGGCGTTCTGTTACAGGTGACGTTCTATTAGAGGGTGGCGCTATCGCCGTCTTTTCTTTGTCTCGAACTCCAACTTCATTAATAAGTTGACAAATTGATTCCTCCACCGTTTCTTCCCTTTTCTTTTTAATAATTTCCAGTCCTCCAGTAAGTTAGAATGCAAACAGTTAATATTTTTGTCGTCTTCTCCCTAGAGCCCGGGCCGTAAACCGCATCCTCAAAAAGATCTAACAATCAGATCATCATTCAAGGCATCCCGAAAAAAAACTGTTGAAAAAACAAACAAATAACAATAAGAAAAAGTTATTAAAATTATAAAATTATTCGAAAAATTCAAAAAGTACATTGCAACCATCAATGATTGCGTACTCATCCATCACCTTAATTTGCTCAAAATTCGTTTTTTCTTCCGATGTGACGTTATATTACAGGTGGCGCTCTATTTTTCAGAGGTGGTCTGACGGTGGCGTTGTCTTAGAGGGGGCGTTCTATTACAGGTGGCGTTATATTACAGTTTTCACGATATATGTTTTTTAATCAGTATGAGATTAAGATTGAGCGTTACTACAATCTTTTGAAACATCAGAAAATCCCTAATTATTGAAAATCTATAGAATGATTGACCAATTTAACCAACTTTCCCTGTTTATCATGATTATCCTGTTTATTCAAAGCTAATTTGTTCCCCAATCATCTGAACTATTAAAAAATCCCCGAAATTTACTTCAAACTGAAAGGCTTGCCGTCTGTAAGATCAGATTTTCAGAAGCGCACATACTCCCCGAGATTAGAATCTACACTTTGACTTTCAAGTGCGAACGCGCACTTTTTCTCACTGTTTCGGAAGTGTACTCTTCGAAACAGAAACTAAAATTTCGATTCATAGATGCGAAGGTATAAGTATAATCATACTCGGTAGAAAATAATAGTCGTCAGAATATACTTATAACTCCAGATTAGGGGCTTCAATTACCCACACAAAAATAACCACTTTCCTGAAAACCGTCTTTTGTAAATAACATATTTTCATTGTACGCCATTCCTATTGACGCGAATTTATGATTATTATTGCTACACAATGTGCAGAACACAACGGAACAAGTTAAAATATTGTTGACTGTCTAGACCAGTCCGAGAATTGGAAAAATCAAGAATTCATCACAAAAGGGCATGTTAGAATTGAAAAGGAATCAATTAAGAATTCTGTGTCGAAGCATGAAATTATGGATGAAATTTTCGACATCTCGATTTTTAGATATATGAGTTTTAGATTTGATTAGTTTTTGAAAGAAGGGGGGATTTGGTACAAGTGAATGGAATTTCAAGAAAATTATTGCCAATTTAGCATTGTTTTCAGAATAAACTCCACTTTAAAAAAAAACCCTGAATCTGAAAAATAATATAAAAACTATTGAGGTGCATATGAAAACTCACCAGTCTCTTTAAAAATATAGCTTGATTGTGATGGATTTATGAAATTTGAAAAATGGGGAACAACAACTGGAGTATAAAAATTGGGTATATTTGAGAATGAATGAAATATGACTTTCAGATTTTTACACGATTTTGTGAACATTTTAAGAGGGGGCATGAAAAAAAATGTTTCTCGAAATTTCGCATACTTTTGAGAAATCCCCGAAAACTCTCCTGTATCCTTTCAATGCACTGTTTCAAAAAGGTAACTTTAAAGTTCGGTTTTTTTTGCTGATAGTAAAGTCTTCTTTTTGCTCACTTTTCCCCCGAAATATCCCTGTTTTTATTAGATATCCTTGTCTGATTTCTCTAATTCCATTTAACTTTTTTTTCAGACAAGACACTTGACGATCCGTGAAGTCTGTGTATCATTTATTTAAAAAAAAACACATACACATGTCAAAATAGAAGAGGAACTAATTTCGGATTCTATGTTAAAGCATGAAATCGACGTTGAACTTTTGGGAATTTGAATATTTGATTGCATTTGAATTTGAAATCATGATACAATTTCACCGTTTTCAAACTAGAAAAAAAAGCCAAACAACTCAAATGAATACGGAAAAATAAAAAAAGTTTTAGTAATCTTTTTTCTCATAATGAAGCTTTTTAAATGAACTTTGAGCTCAATTAACTTGGTTCCTATGAGATATATTCAAAAACAGTCAACTGATAAAATGTTTGGTTTAATGTCACGAACACATTACCTGTTTACATATTCTGAATATCTCTCATAGGAATTGAAATAATTGATCTCAACAAGCAAGTGTCAATCATTCACAATTTGTTTTACAATTTGTTCGGTTCTGGGAATTTCGATCCCAGTCAAGTCTCTAAATTTCTTGGTTTCATGTCCTTCCACGGCTATACTACCAAAACTTGGGTTTTCACATCAAAAATCGAATGAAACGGTAACACCTGTCAATTCGACCACAATCTGAACTCTGCAGTCAATTCTCCTTGCCTTATAACCCAATTCTGTGTCTTTTCTCCTATCATTTTCCGCCTTATCTTTATCAAATTAAATGCTTCTTTTTTCTACACTTATCATCATTTACAGACTCAAAAAAACTGTGTGCAAAAATTATCGAATTTTTGCCATTTCGTTGAAAACTCTTTTTTCCGGTCATTCTTGTAGAAAATTCCAATTAAGTACAAATTTGAACACAGCCCGCAAAAACACACCAAAAACCCGACGACCTATTTGTTATTGTTGATGTTCTGTTTCTTCGATGTGTCTGCGTCTCTCACCATCTACACACTCTCTCGTTGTCTCTTTTGGACATAAACAGGTGACCAGAGACACATTCCTACTCTTCTACCCGCTCTATTTCTCTATTTCATTCAATTTTATCCCCCTATTTTTCTAGTTTTTTCTTTACTTTTTGATCTAAAAATTGAGAAGAAATCTGATTCTCGATCGTTTCAATTCGTCACTTTTTCTAAATGTCTGGGTTATAGATCTTCGTTATAAAGTGTTCTTCTTCTTCTTTCAGAATGAAAATCAAAAAGTATTTCGGACTGTTGGGAATGGAGATTCCTCTGTTCTTGTATATGCTCGGATCGTATCTCAATTATCCCGTGTTCCAGAATTTGATCTACGAAAAGGAGTGCTTGTTGAAATATGATCAGGTGAGATAAGATGATGATCATTAGTAATTTGAAAATTCTGACTGGAATTCAAGGGAATTCGAAACAGCCAACTCTTGAAATAAAGAAACTAAATATAAAACCCCCATTTTAGCGAAATCAAAGTTATTAAAGTTTCAAAATTCAGAATTTTTGAATTCTTTTGAATCATTTCAGTATCTCGATAGTTGAATCTGGTTGAGTTTTTCAGCAATAAGACTAAATGTTCACATTTTTGAAGTTTATGAATCTTACGGTTTTTAGGTATTCTTACATTAGGACGATATTCCATTATTTAGTTTAGCGTTTACCTGCATTTGAATTAGTTCGAAAAAATACTGTTTGAGGTTTTCGATATTGTTTCCTTTGTTTTTGAAAAGGTGATCTTTTGATTGGAAAAACTGGCTTTCTACACATAACTTTTGAAAAACAAGTTTAGTGTCGGCGTATTCATTCTTCATCTCTTTCAAAACTTTCGGTTTCAAATTCCCTAAATCTGCTGAAATTGTTATCAGAAATGTTCGGAACGTATACGTAGGCACCTCGATTAGAAATTTGGTACCAAGCCAAAGTTGTTAATCAACGCTCAAGCAATTTTGATTTCCGAAAAAAAGGTCAAAAAATGCCAAAACTGACACAGTAAACTTCTAGATCAACGATGCTTCGTCAGCCTTTCCGCCTAGTTTCATTTTTTCTTTCATTCCAGAACATCACATTCTGTCGTAATGTCAGTGCCTACTACGATGACAAGGATATCCAATCAGCATCCAATCATTTCTACTTCATCTCTTCACTGACTCTTCTCTGCCCATCTATTGTGACGACGCTGTTATTGGGAGCTGGTGAGTGAAACTATTCTTCTGCTTCAAATAGATTTTGAAAATTGGGTTGGAGTAAATGAGAACAATGAAAGGAAAATGCCAGTACTTTTGTAATACGTACAGTAGCTATAACAGTTTTTAAAAATTTTACCTATTTTAGTTGAAAGTAGCCAACATGTCTCAAACTGTGTTAGATTTTGCTCGATGAGCATTAAAATTTTAAAGATCATTTAATAAAAAGAGTTTCAATTTTTTTAGTTGACACTTCTTTTGTAAGAATTCATCTAGCGAAATTCTTTTTTTCTTTTGGAAGACCTCAAAATGTTCAGTGTCATCCAAAAAACCTACATTATTTGATATCCGAACTGTGGCTTTTTTCAACTACATCACTGACGCAAAACTATTCGTTCTCCTTCTTATCATTCACTTTTTGACACTTTGTACCAGAACAATTTTCTTGCGGTGTAGACTCAAGGTACAGTACACTTCTGTATACAAAATTTGAATTAGCAAAAACGTTTTTATTTTTTTTTAAGATTTTTATTTGTAAATGTGATGAAACTGGAGTTTTTGAGAATGATTTCCAGTATTTTTTTCCGGTTTCAAAATGTTCTTACATGTAGAATTTTTGATTTTTTACGGATCCTGTTCACTTTGATGTAAGACATATAGTGAAATATTTGACAATTATTCAGCCGCCGACTACAAGAGCATCAAAATTCCTCTAATCATTCCGTACGTTGGATGTATTCTTGGAACAATCAATTATGTCTTTCAATCGTATTTCATCCATACTTCCGTTTATCTTCTTCTTATCAGCGATGCGCTCTTCGGACTTTGTGGTGGCTTTATTGCAATCATATGTGAGTTTTTTCTTTAAAACTTTTGCAGTTTCAGAAATTTTATTTGAAAATATTGGGAACTGATCTGTGTTTTGAACGACATAAACATGGAATGATTTGTAAATTTTGAGCTGTTTTTCAAACTGCAACATATTGTCAGAATAAAAAAAGTGTCAGTCCTTGTTTGCAGACTCAATACAAAAATTAGAGTGTTTTGCACTGAGTCTGCAAACACGCAGCTGACAGTTTTATAATTCCGAAAATAAGTATTTCAGAAAAAATACGAATTTTCCAGCTTGCATTCTACCACCATTGTGTTTCTCGTACTTGTTTCACCCTAAAAACACTTAATCGCGAGCTAATTTATAAAAATTAAAAATTAAAAAAATTCGAACATTTTTCGCGGCCTCAAAAAACCCCCAAATTTACCAAAAATCCCTCATGTATGCTTAGACTAGCATTTTTCTTTCAGCGACAACACTGACATATGGAGTTAAAACGAGTATTCGATACCGTAGTTACCGTATCGCAGGAGTTGAAGGAGCCATTGGAATGGGTGGAACTGTTGGTTACGCGTTGTCTGGAACTGTTAGAGAGTAAGTGGTAATACAAATTACTGTTCCAAATAGAGAGTTTTGGGCAGGTGGTTTTTTAGAAGCAATTGGTGACGACCTTCCTCTTTTAAATTCTGCAAAAAAGCTAGAAACATTTGATACAGCAGAAATTTTAAAATTGAACTGATTTTTCAGTCCCTGCTACTTATTCAAATGACAGGCTGTATTTTTTGTGAAGTTTTGAAATTGTTTTATTTTGTGCAAAAAATGCCGGAAATTTCGAAAAATATATCCAGAAAGAGGACTAGAATGTTTCAGCTTGTCCAAATGAAACCAATTTTGAAAAAAAGAACTAGTTTTCTCTGCGGTTATGTCATTTGAACGGTTGTTTTAGTTTTTCTTTATTTATTTTGAGAATTTATTATTTTTCTGCACCAAAAAGTAGAGAAAAAAAGCAGGCACCACCTTTGGAGCTAATTTCAAATATTCTAGTCAGGAACTGCAATAAGAGATCAATCTTCATTATGCTCACCTGCCAATACAATATGTTTGAAACCGAAAAAAATTTTCCAGGTCATTAGGATATGCAGCCACATTCCTTATCATTCTCGGAGTTCAACTTTGTGCTCTCATCTATCTCCTCTTTAGAGCGAAAGAAATGAAGTATGAATCAACTGGACCCGACGAACACACTTGTGAGTTTACCTTCCTTCATGGTTGAAGGAGGCCAGACATAAAAAAAAGTTTTCCTGGTATTTCGCCTAGAGAACCCCCATAGGGAGTTGAACTCATGCTGGACAGTTCAGGCGTACATCGCCGCTACCGGCTGAGCTACGGGTGCGCGAAGGCGACTGCCGACCGATGGCCTACATAACCGCAGCGCGATTTCGTCCCTCAAACTGTCCCCCAAAATTTTTGCTGTCTGACCCCCCTTTAAACATTTCCCATCGCCATGAAAAGATGGAATTACAGCACTCATCTCAACAACCGGTAAGCAGTTGGTTACTGTAATCCGAGAATTCTATCGAGTCCTTGCCAAATCGCGCCCGTTCCGAGTGATTTTGGCACTCAATCTTTTGGCGTTCGGCGTTGAAATGCTCATATTCTCTGGATTACAAGATATTCAATACTCGTATCTTCGTTATAAATTGGAATGGGGAGACAAGAAATATGGATGGTTTTCTGGACTGTCTTATGGAGTTACTACGTTTGCTGTTATTGTGTTTTATCCGTTGCTTCGTATGAAATTGATGTCGGATGGAATGTTGGCGACGCTTGGATTGTTCTTCAAAATGATTTCATTGTTCATGTTCGCGTTTTTGCAAAATGAGGCAATGGCTTACTCGATTGCAGGTGAGTATCATTTCTTCTTATGAGAGTATCTTCATAAAAGAGACATTTTTAACACTAAACATATCAGAAGTACATATATTTCTTTCAACAAAGTTCCGATATTTCAAAGTTCTTTGTTTCCATAGTCTTTTATTAGATTGTTCGAATTTTGAAGTTTCGGTGCCATTAGAGACGACATAGTTCAGCATTGGTATTACAAATACCTTCATACCTTTATTAGAATAGCCGGCTCTATTGTTCCAAGGTACCACCAGAGGACCCTTCTATTGCAGGAGCCCTTCAATTAGATGGAAATTACGGTATTCTGAAGTTGTCTAACTGATAGTGAGAAAATTTATCTGTTTCCCTAATGTTGTTAAAAAATTATTTATTTCCAAAGCAATTTTTTTCAAATCTTGTTGAGGAACCATAATTGAAGATGTTGGAAAATTTCGTAAAAAGTAGCTTTGGGAATCCAATAGATATACATATTTGTTCCAATTCTGTACTCAACCGAGCGAATCGTAATTAATACAACTTGTAGAGAGTCTAAAATGGTTTTTTCTCGTTTTCTGAAACTTGTTTCGATCACAGGAAAACTGATTTTTTCTAAATTTAAAGGAGGCCAGACATAAAAAAAAGTTTTCCTGATATTTTGCATAGAGAACCCTCATGAGAGGTTGAACTCATGACACACAGGTAGAGGGGGACTGCTGAAAAACTGCTAAATGACAGCTGAAGAGGCGCAAACTGGCGAATGACTGTTAGTTGGCAGCCGAAGGAAAACTGACGGGCCGTCGACGGACAGTCGGGACCCGTTGGAAAACAGACTTGAAGGTTTTCATTGAAAATCATTCAGAAAACAATTTCTCATACCCCCACTAGATTATAGGAAATGACAGAATCTTATTTTCCTAAAATAGGACCACCTCAAAATAGGTTGTTGAACGACTGCTGAATGGCAGTCGAAGAGGCGCTGACTGGTCAATGACCGGTGGTTGGCGGGCCAAATTTCTGCAGAATGGAAAATTTGGTTGAAAAACGATGTTTCTCTTAAAACATGATAAAAGTCATAGAGGGATCTGGGAATCTATAAAATGTGTTATTAGAAGCACTTCTACGAAAATTAGAATCTGAGGCGCGATTAGTGAAAAACGGCTAAATGACAGTCGAAGAGGCGCTGACTGGTGGATGGCGGCTGGAAAAAAACGCTGTAAAACGAATTTCTGAATGTTTCTGGGTATCCATCTAAAAGCATGTTTTCGCATTTTCTGTTAAAATATCGTAACTGGAGTTGTCATTTCGTGATAATAATCCTCCGTTTAAGGTACGTGTTTCCGGTCATACTTTTCCCATTTTCTGAAGAGTTCCGACGAAATTTTTTCTGAAAACGTTGTACAATTTTTTTCTGAAAATGCTGTTTCTTTTTGTTTCTTTTTCTTCAAAAATCTCGACCATTCGTTTTTAATTGCCGTTTTAGATGACGAGTTTCGGAATTTCGGTTCGCAACGACACTCCGAAATCCCGCCTGCGCCTTGTTTAGCGATACAAGACTCAACGAATTTCTCGTCTAATTTTCACAGTTTTTTTCGTTTTTCGAAGTGTTTTCTCATTGAAATTCAGTATTTTTCGCTCAAATTATCTAAATACTGGCATTAGAAAAGCATCAAAAACATTCGCGCACTTTATTTCTCGCGTTTTAGTTGAAAATGCGAAAAAATCGGTGAAAACTCGTTTCGCATGTTTTTGCTTCGGAAAGTAACAAATTTAACGTTGCAGAGGTTTTTTGTGGTGAGTTGGTGAGTTTTTATATGCTCCGAAGCAAAAACTATCGAAATCTCTTAACTTTCTCATTCTGTTGCCGAAAATTCGCCTTGCCGACACTTCGTAAGTTTGATGTTTTGCAAGTGCTATGGAAAGTAACAGCTTTGCAAGGTTCGCGCATGAAAAATTATACGAAAATCTGTTGCTTTTTCTGCTTCCGGTCGGCTTTAAAAATATCACATGCGATATGTCGAACTTTTGAAGTCTCTGCTAAAAATACCGCTAAGCCTTAAACATGTAGAGATTTTTTTATATGCCAGTTTTTTTGGGTGCTCAATTCATCTTACGAACTCATCAATTTTAATTATTCTGAAAGAAAGTCATATAAAAGCGGAAAATACTGTTCAATGAGAGAAATGCTGAGAACCGAAAGAAATTGAAAACAAAAAACGAAGAAGGAAAAAAGAACGAAAGGAACGAGGAAAAAATCTTCGCATTTTGAAATTTGACTTTTTATAAAGTTGGAATTTTGCGAAAACACAAAAAGAAAATCGAAGTTCTGTTCCCTATAAAATGTGTAATTTCTTATGTGTTTTCTCTCATTCTAATCATAAAAATTCAACTTTGAAAAATTTGGAGTTATTTTTTCAATACAATACACAATCCACAGAAACTATTAGTTTAATAAAGAATTATATTGTTTATTACCTGTTTAATGATGAACTGTCAAGAAAGCGCTATCATTTTAGACGGTCCGTCTTCGAAGCGCAAATCGTTGCAGACGGACCGTCGGCGGCGCGCGATTCGACTGCCGACTGTTCGCTTTTCGGCAGTCCGCGCCCGCCAGACGGCCCGTTTTTCGGCAGTCCCCCTCTACCTGTGCAGGCAGCTCAGGGGTACAGCGCCGCTACCGGCTGAGCTACGGGGGCGCGAAGGCGCCTGCCGACCGATGGTCTACATAAGCGCGGTGCGATTTTGTCCCCCGAACTGTCCCCCGAAAGTTTTGCTGTCTCGCCTCCTTTAATAACACAAATCATTTTCCAGTTATCGTCATGTTCAATCGATTTGTCTCTACCGGATTCCGAGCATTTATCTCATCGCTTATTGAAATTCAAGAACAAGGTATGTTTTCTACGCAACCATTGAATTTTTCAAAAATCCAGAAAAATTAGATATCTTTGAAAAATACATATCATTGTAATTATCATTATAACGCTACCACTTTTTATTTGCCTCAAAACACTTGAAAACATTTCGTAACAGAAAACGTTCCTCTGGAAGCCCAAAGCATCCATATTTACAGGTAAAATCTTCTCGGTTATCGCCCTTTTGGAAGGAATCACCACACTAATTGCGACGTCGATTTACAACAATGTCTATCCGAAAACATTGGAATTCTTCCCAGGATTACTGTACCTGATCAGTGCGGCTCTGCTGCTTGTTCCACTTGTTATTGTCAGGTGAGAAAGATGATGCATTGTACTCAACTTCACAGTTTCGCACACAAAATATTAGTTTTTGAATTTTTTCAGATGTCAGTTTGTTATTAATTCTGTTGGAGAAAACTGAAAACTTTCAACTCTAATGAGTAGTGATATGGCTTCAGTTTTGTAGTTGACAATTTTTTGAACAACTTCTTTCAAACGAGATATACTGCTCGAAAATTTAATCACTGAAGTCTTTGGAAGTCTTGGTACTTGATTGTTTTCAAATGGTATATCTCATTTGGATGAATTTGTGCAGAATAAAATTGTTAACTACCAAATTGAAGCTCTTTTTTTGTGTAGTAAACCTAAAAGTTTTCAGGCTCTTTGAACAAAATCTGAAACATTATATTGTCGGAATAAATAAAGTGGGACTCGGTGTTTCATCGGATTTAAGGAGATTTTCATAGAAAATATGATCTCCAAGTGGCGCTAAAACACCACGCCGCACTTGCAAAGCGATGGGCGGAGCGTCGGTGGGGGGGAGGCGGGAATCAAAGTACGCAAACACCGAGTCCCACTTTTTTTCCGACAATAGTGCCAGACGTACACTTTGGCTACTTTCAACGAAAAATAGTTTAAACTGTTTTAAAAACTTGGCCGCTATTGTAGCTATTGGACTACAAAAGTTCTTCCAGAATGATTGTGCTATTGATCTCATATCTTTAGATCCTAACTTTAAATCTATTTGAAACCGAAAAAATATTTTCACCTTCCAGCTCTAGGTAGATTTTCTTACAAAAATATGTTTCCAGCACATCCGACTTCATCGTTCGAAAAACGCCTCCAGAAGTGTCGGAAGGAATTCTGAATAGTCATAACGACGTCATCGACGAAGTCACATCAACAGGCTCAAATTCATAATGTTCTGCTGTTACATCATTTTCCCTCCTAATCAGACCAGAATTGCGGGTTATTTCTGTGTGTGTTTGTTTGTACATAAAACAGATAAATGGATGAAGAATCAAAAAATAAAACACTCTTTTTATTTGTTTTCAACCCATCGTTAATTCGTTTGACAACCAAAACATTCGGCCGCCCTTTTATTCCGTTCGGCAGACTTTGCAGGCATCGTCTGAAAAATAGAAAGGTTTTTAATTTTGCACTGGCGGTCTGTTTTCTTGATCAGCCTTGTGATTGCATTGATCTAATTGGTCCAGGTATCACACTTTTTTCAAAGAGATCTTGAAAAAAATGAACAATAATCATAGATTTTTTTTTCGTTTCACTCTATTTATTTTTTCAGCTTTGGTACTGTACTGTCAAATTATAATTTATTAGAGGACATATGAAAATCGAAAACCGAAATTCAAAAAAAAAACCAATTGAAAAATGTTAAAGTCGGAATTATTCACACAAACATTGTTTTCATGTTTTACAGAGTCAAAATTATCTTCTAGTCTGTAAAATTCAGAGCTCTGGATTGAACAGTGACGGACGATAAACTTGAAGCGCTGTGGAAGAGAAAAACTAGAAAACTACCGTAACCTGAAATTACTTTTATTTTCAGAATTTCATTTCAATTTTCAGTTCATATTATGCTTCTGTTATTTATTCCTGAATAAAAAATTTTTTAAATGGAAAAGAATCAACATGGGGATTGAAAAAAATCAAGAAAAAAACCGGGAAACAATGTTATTTTCCGATTACAGTAGTTTTCGTTGTGAGACAGCAATATTAGTTAAACAAGTGGAACAGCAATATTAGTTAAACAACAATACAACTACAAAGTTTCGAGAAAACTTCCAAACGTTTTTTGGTCCCTAAACTTAATTCCTTTGAACTCTTCCATTCAACTTTTCAGTCTCATGAAACAAAATTGTGCTAATTTGTTCAAAAACTTCAAGGAAATGAAATTTTTTATCGTCCGAATTCGTTTTCTGTTCTTTCCAAAGAAGTAGAAAAAGAAAAAAAGAGAGATGTACCACCACCATGTGAATTTATCACTTTAATATCTTTGTTCTTTAGATACAAAAGGAAACTTGTTTTCCTTTTTTTCGTCTTCTACAGATTTTTGACCTAATTCATTGATTTTTATTAATAAATGTAACTTTTTAAATAGACATCGGTGATTTATCTATTTTGTATGTACACTTGTAAAAAAATTGGAAAATGCTTAACTGATGAAATATACTCAGTGGTTACCCTTGTAAAATTTTAGTTTACATTTGTTTTGAAAAAGTTAGAATGCTTGAATCTGTAATTTTTTCAGCGAAAAATAATGCTGCGACTTTGGGGAAATTATTTTCGAATCATCATAGTGCTCATGAGTTTTTTGTGCTTGGTTTCTGTATGCTCGAATTATATAATCATAAATTTCACATTCATTTGTATGAAGGACGATTTCAGTGTAACGATTGATGATAGGAATGGGGTGAGTCTTCATTTTACTCAAAAATTGAAAGTCCACCAAATTGAAAAATTTCATCTTCATTTTGAAACATTTTATTTTTTTAAACAAATTCAAACTCGAGTTTCTCTGTCTATAACGGAAATAAGGTTTTTTTTTAATGAATTGAAGGAAAAATAAATTTTAAAAATACAATAAAATATTTTCAGACTCTCAAAAGCATCTATGACTACAGTCCTACTGAAAAGAAGTACATTTTATGGGCAGTCGCGTTTGGAACCATGATCGGAACGTTTCCCATTAATTTTCTCTATGTTAGATATGGAGCCAGGTACCTCTTAAGCGAAAACAACTGAAATATTGGATTCTCAGAATTCCATTCTTCTCGGCTGGAGTTTTATCAGCAATCACAACGGCCTTGACACCATGGGCTGCAGGACAGTCCATGTGGATTTTTGTGGCGTTGAGATTTATGCAGGTTGGTTTCTAATGAACTAATTTTGTAAATTCTAAAACTATTCGTAAGTTGTTTAGAAGATTATGAATAGTTGAAAAACCTTTAAAAATGAAACATCTGAAACTGGGAAAAATAACATTTCTAATTTTCAAAAAAAAAATTGATAATTCCCAATAGTTGTATGATTTCTAAGAAAGCCCTTCAGTTTTGAATTCCAGAAAAATTACCATTTCAGCTGTTTCAGATTTGTTAAAGTTTTAAATGGAACAAATGATAAAGGTGCCCATGCTACCGAAAAGTATCTTTTTGCGTATATATTCGCTGAAAAATTCCCAAATAGTTTTCGTTCAGAGAAGTTTTTTTTGAAGTATACTCGCATAAAAATTAAGAAAAAATGTAAAAAAAAAGAAAATCTGTAAAAACCGCTTCAATAGACAGTAAAAGTCGTTCATGTCGTTTCTGTCCATTTTTGGGGATTACCAGAAGATTCTCAAAATATTTTTCGAATTCCCGCCAGGACGGAAAATTACCCGAATTTCTACATCCCTTTTTACAGGTGGCGAGGAATTCTCATTTCTGGCTGGAATTCGAAAAAAAATTGAGAACTTTTTAGAAGTATCCAGAAATGGACAGAAATGACTATAGATGAGTTTGGTTTTGCTTTTCTGGTCAGTCAGTTTTCGATAAGTTTGGGTGAAAATTTAATACATTCACTAGTTCAAGAAACATCGAAAAATGGGTCCAAAAAGTTTACAAGCACTCAAGTCGATAGTAAAATAGTTTTGATAAAATAATATGTGTCATGTAAAATTAATGAAACATAATCCTAACATTCCAGGGAGTCGCTTATTCTGCAGATTTCGCTGCCATCGGAATCGTCATCTCAAAATGGGCGCCTCTAAACGAAACTGCGATTTTCATAGCTACTCTGACATCTTTCACCTCCATTGCTTCAATTATAACAAATGGTGTCACTGGACTGGTAAGCATTTTTTTTTTCCAGGAACTCCATTTATCAAAAACCTTGATTATTTTCAGATCTGTGACAGTGCACTTGGCTGGAAATGGAGTTTCTATCTGCATGCAGGTGCTTGCTTCTTTGTTTTTACAATTTGGGTTCTGATCTACAAAGACGATCCGACATTCCACACATGTGTCAGTGTTAGAGAACTCGGGAAAATCCAGAAAAACAAATCAGAGGCTCATATCAAGGATGGAATGAAGGTTCCGTACAAGGAAATATTCACCAGTCCAGTTGTGCTTACAGTATGGCTATGTGCATTTACGGAGCTCTCAACATTGATTCTAATTGCCACGTATGCTCCAATTTATTTCAGAAGTGTGCTGAAATTTGATGTAAGTCAAAAGACAGTTTAAAAGACAATGAAAAATTTAAATTTCAGATTAAAATAATTGGATTCTATCTTGGAATCATGACCGCAATCCACCTCCCATTCAGATTTGTTTGCGCATTTTTGAGTGATAAAATGAGGTTGGCTACACAAAAATTCCCCGTTTTAAGTAGCCAATAAATTTGGGCGTTACTTTGTAAATGATTTGTAAATGAATGATCGACCGTAAGTAATTCCTTTCAGTTGTATCTCTGAAATCGCAAAGATCCACATCTTCAACACTTTGGCAGTTGGATTCGTTGGAATATCTTTCATAGTTTTTGGGTGTAGTATTTGTTTCATATACTCAAAAAAAAAAAGAATTTCAGATATATTCCAGCCGAACACAATATCTCTGCTGTGGTATGCTTGGCGATTCTAGAATGTTTCATCAGTTTCAATAGTGGAGGATTTTATAAATGTGGAACGTTGCATTCAAGGTAAAAATAAAAACATAATTTCCGGTTTCAACGAAATGATAGAGTAGGAATATCTTCATTTTATTCGTTACTGAAAAGGCCCTTCCATACTTTTTATTTTGATCCAATTTATCTCGGCTCGTGTACAAGATATCAAGAAGTAATCAACTGATAAAGTTTTCATTACAGTTTAAATACATTCTATCAGTTAATCGCTTCTTGATATATTTTACAAAAACCGAGATAAATTCAGATGAAATTGTAAAGGTTTTGTTGTTATTGGATTTGCCATATTTCTCGATTTCAATGGAATAACAAATTAGAATCTAACTCAATGCTGGCATTGGTTTTGTTCCTCAATTGTATTTTTGCTGGTTTTAAAATGTTTAGTTTCTAGGTGAATCACTAGTAACACTCATGACAATGACACTCCTAAACTTTCCAGACAATTCGCCTCTACCGTAATCTCGGCTATCCAATTTACCAAGTGTATTTCTCTATTCTCCGGTCCCGCTCTTGTCGCATTTTTTGTCTCCGACGAATCGAGTCAAACCCAATGGAGTCATGTATTCATGACACTTGCTGGATGCTCATTCTTTGTAAGTTACCGGTTTCATGAATTTCGTATTCGACAGAATTAGATTTATGAGATAATACGATTTTTCTTTCAAGGAGAATAATAATTCTACACATTTTCAGGCCAACATTCTGTCCTTCATATTTTTCACCGATAAACCAGCAAAATGGACAGAATACGATGGAAGTGTTGTGAAATATTCAAAAAAGGAAGAGGATGTTAAATTTTAGAAAACAGAACTATTATTATTTACGGTTTTCTTTTCAACTTTTATAACTTCAATATCTACAATTTCCGAAACTACAATATATCCGATTGAGGACTGGGATCAAATTCCATAGAACCAAACATTTTGTAATAGAAAAAATATATTGATATTATGTATTGTCACAATGAATTCTATAAAAATCAAAACTTAAAGATTACATTTTTCTGGAACATTTGATACAAACAGAGCATAACAATCGTTTCGTCAATTGTTCGATGAAAACCATATAAAAGAAAGAAAATGACATAAGAAAAGTTTTTTTTAATTACTGTTTCGTTTCTAACACTTTTTAGATCTGAGGCCGTATTCATGAAATTTACTTTTGTAAATCATTTACTCTCAAAAAATCAACTGAATCATGTACCAAAAGGTAAATGGAAGTTGATTTTTGAGAGAAAATTATTTACAAAAGTAAATGTTCATGAATACAGCCCTGAGTTTTTTCAAGTGTTTTTCGTATGTTATAGGACTTTAAGACAAATGTTCCGGCTCTGGGGAAATTATTTTCGGATCATCATAGTGGTCACCAGTTTCTTGTGTCTGGTTTCGATTTGCTCAAACCATTCAATTATCAATTTGACGTTTATCTGTATGAAAGAAGATTTCAGCATGACGACTACAACTGAAAATGGGGTAAAATTTTTTGAAATTTTTTTTCAATTACCAGCCTGTTTGTCGCGCCTCTGGCGCTCAAAACGGATCGCTGGTGCAAAAATAAAAACTAAGTGTAAACAATTAAAACTCTCTGAAACACAAACGTTTTTCAGACGCTCAAAAGCGCCTATGACTTCAACCAGACTCAAAAAACCTATATTAATTGGGCTGTAGGATTTGGCACTTTTCTTGGAACATTTCCCATGAACTACCTTTTTGTTCGAATTGGAGCCAGGTACCGAAATTTCAAACGACGAACCAGATTGTTGGATTTTCAGAATCCCTTTTTTCTCCGCTGGGTTTCTGTCAGCAGTTGCTACTGGGTTAACACCTTTTGTCGCCGGACAATCAATGTGGATTTTTGTGGCGTTGAGGTTTTTACAGGTAGGTTTATGAAGAATCACCGTTGCATTGAGAAATAATAAGAGATAACTCTTGAAATGAAATATCTGGAACCGGAAAATATTCTAATTTGAAAACTTTGATAATTTTCAAAGGTTAAAGGATTTTGAGGTAGCTTACAATTTTGGAGTAATCCTATTCTGAATTCTAGATTCGTATTAATTTTCTACTAGTTTTTTCACTCGAATTGAAGAAGTGGGCCGAGGTACGAAGCTCTACCGAACAGTTACCTAATTAACAACCATATTAGCACATGTGGCTTCGATATGATCACTTATTACGTTACCACCTCGTTCTGGTTATCATTTTTCTTTGATTTCCAACTTAAATACAAAGATCATGAAACATATATTTTCTTAAAACATTGATCATTCTATAGATCACTACTGAACACTGACCATTACTCTCTCTCCCTATCAATGATAGGCTATCATTAATCATTTTCAGGGAGTCGCCTATTCAGCGGATTTCGCCACCATTGGAATCGTCATTTCTAAATGGGCACCTCTTAACGAGACTGCTATTTTCATAGCAATTCTTACTTCGTTCACTTCTATTTCTTCAATTATTACCAGTGGAGTGAGCGGAGTGGTAAGAATCTGAACCAAGTGGTAAGATCCAAACCAATCCCCAATTTTTCAGCTATGCGCCAGTAGCACTTTTGGCTGGAAATGGAGCTTCTACCTTCACGCTGTTTCTGGATTTATCCTCTTTATTATCTGGTTTTTTCAATACAAAGATGATCCAACACTACACAAAAGTGTCAGCTCAAAAGAGCTCTTCAAAATTCAAAAGAACAAATCGGAAGCCCATATAAAGGATAACAAAATAGTTCCATATTTCAAGATCTTCACAAGTCCAGTTATTCTGACAGTCTGGTTTTGTGCATTCACAGAATTGTCTACTTTTATTTTGATTTCTCAATATGCACCTGCTTATTTCCGAGAAGTTTTGGGATTTGATGTAAGAAAAATTTTAGTTCTTCTAAATTCTTAAATGTTCAGATTGTCACAATTGGACTACTGAACGGAATCATGACAGGAATTCACATCCCATTCCGATTTGTGTGCGCATTCTTGAGTGATAAAATTAGGTTGGTTATACAACATTTGCAGTTTTAAGAAGTCAATAAATTTGAGAGTTTACTTTTAAAATTGATCATCATTCATCAGTCCCTCTCACAACCAGCTGCAACTCTGAAATATTTTTTAATCGATTATGTTTTTGCAGTTTTATCTCGGAAATCACTAAAATCCACATCTTCAACACTCTGGCAGTTGGGTGCGTTGGAATATCTTTTATAGTTTTTGGGTCAGTTTTCTTTTCAATTCTAAATTTTGGCTGAAATTTTCAGATTCATCCCAGCGAAGCATAACATAATGGCAGTTGTTTGTTTGGGGATTTTGGAATGTTTTATGAGTTTCAATAGTGGAGGATTCTATAAATGTGCAACTCTGCATGCGAGGTTTGTGACAGAAGCTTTAAATAATATTTCTGTTTCAGTTTTGGATTTTTGGGGGTTGTTAAGTAACATCGTTCTGATCAAATTTTGTTGCGCTTCATTTTTTTCATAAAGTAAGTTTTAACATATTCCAGACAATTCTCATCTACCGTAATTTCGGCAATTCAATTCTCAAAATGCATTGCTTTGATCACCGGACCAGCTCTTGTCAACTTGTTTGTCTCTGATGAATCAAACCAATCTCAATGGAGTCATGTCTTCATGACACTTTCTGCGACTACTTTTTTGGTAAGTTACCGCAATTAGTGTTTTACTTATTTTCTAATGTACCAGTTTGATACTTTGCCTTCAAATTGAACATAATAATGAGCACTTTCAGGCCAATATTCTTTCATTCGTTTATTTCACGGATCAACCAGCAGAGTGGACCGAAGAATCAAAGTATTCGAAGAAGGAGCAGGATGTTAATTGTTAGATTATTTTAGAAGTTATCGAATTTCCTACGAGTCTAGAATGTATATAATTTGACACCGATAATTCAGAATGAACGGATTTTTTAGAAATTGCAATCATCTTTAAGATCAATAAAAGAAATCTCAAAAACCTTATTTGAAGTGACAGTGAAACCGAAATATTTTTTCTTATACCAAATGAGTACAGATAGTAATAAAATGCTTTAACTTTTGTATGCAGAGTGTGATTTTCGTCAGGATCAGAACATTTTTCTGTTTCAGAATCAAAGTGTTATTTCGAACAATTCTACGATATGCGTTTCGCAGTTGCCCGGTTTCGGAAAGTTGTATTTTTAAACACACTGTCTGCATTTGTCTAATAGAACCAAGACACGGATTAACATTTTGCATTCGTTTATCAAATATGTCAATTTTTTGAAACCGCAAATCTTTTTCTATAGTTTTCGATTTCCACGAACCCATCCGAATCAAACTGTATGCACCTAAATCAAAACTTCTGGATTTTTTCGAAAAATTGTATTTCAAAACACACACCGTTTATATGTATCTCAAAGAGTTTAATCAGCCAAGTGACCAATCAGAATTTTTCCGTTATGCTCAAGTATGTCAATTTTTTGAAACCGAAAAACTTCAAATTCCACAAATCCATCAAAATCAAACTATATGCACCCAAATCAAAATTTCTGTCAGTTCTCGAGTCACATGAATGTGTGACCTGCAAGGCGAACAACATAAAACTATTGTTATACCATGCAATTCTATTGCCAATTATGTCGTCGGTGCGAATAGATCAGGCGGAAACACCGTGTACTAAGTTTGTGGTATTTGGTTTTCAGTCAGTATCCTGATTATCAGTCAGTGTTTTTGTCGATTATGAATTACTCACAAATGTTGTTTTCACGAAACAGTAGCAGTTTTTGATAAAACTTGCCTATGAATCAACCAATTAAGTAGCGATACTATAAAGGTATAAACCCAAATGTTGTCCACAGCCTGAAGATTAAATGTTCTGTATCATCTATTTTTCCATCGTTCCAGAAAATTAACATTTCAGAGCGAATGAAAAAAGGCTCAGTGAGCGACATCGTCTATTGTATTCTATATTCCCGTATTTCAAGAAATCTAAAACTGAGTTTTTGAACTATAGATCGGTTAATTCGAAATGTGAAAGCTCTAACATCTTTTCCAAGTCACAAGGCATTTGTTCAAATAAAAGAAAATATGGCCCATGTTGAAAAATGTTTCCCATTGTTTTAAAGTTGCCACCCACTACTTCAACAATTTCAAAAAATCGCTGTAAAATTTTTGATCTTTAAAAAAGTCGATGACGAAAACCGAATCGAAATGTGAAGCGCGATTTGACCTGATTGGTCAAATCAAACATACGTCAAAACTGATTAATGTAAAGTGATCATCACGTTATTCAAAAAAACTGTGTTTCATATAAGAGGAAGTTCTTGAATGGAGAGATAGAGATAGAGACGAGAACGATCAAACATTGTAGACTGGAGTTTTCTAAAAGTTGTATCATTTCTTATGGTTTTTATTATGTTTTAAAGTACTTCATACTCATCAGACAAGCATACTAAAATTTCAAGACAAGTTTTTTTAAAAATAACACTTTGAAACTGTAAAAACATTTTTACTGTTTTTTTGATTTTCAGTTATAGCTAACTTTAGTTTAGGTTAATTTATTTTTAATGAAATAGCCGTATCGTTAGACGTTACCGTATAACCTGTATTAGGCCAAATTGAACCAATATTATTTTTTTAGTGTGTAAGATATCAAAAAGTCGGCAACTGATAATTTTTTATTGAAATATCACCAACTTTTTATTAGTTGACAGATTTTTTATTTCTCTTATAGGAACCGAGATAAATTCGGTTAAAGTTTGACAGTTGGGGACCTCTTTCTGGTTTTACCTTTTTCACGAAAATACAAAAAGGTACCGTACTTGCTCTGATAGAAACCCACCCTATACGTCTACTTTGAGCTCAATTATATCGGCTCCTATGAGAGATATCGAATATTTGTCAACTGATAAAATGTTTGTCATAATATCACCAATATATTATCTTTTGGCAGATTTTGGATTTCTCTTATAGGAGCCGAGATAATTAAGATTAAATTGTACATACAAAATGGCCTTCCTTTAGAGTGCTTGCGGTAGATTGCTCACCTATTAATTTCCATCAAAAGAAATTTTTGATATCTCTTATTGGAACCGAGATAATTGAGCTCACAGTGCAATAGGGTGGGCTTATGTTATCGAAAAGTTTTGAAACTTCAAGAAAATCAAAGAATTCTGAACTTGAGTTTAATGAGAAACACTATCAAATTACCCGAATCCTTGTAGTTCAATTTTTATTTTCCCACAAATAAACTATACGCTATCACTATTTTAATTGGAAAGAAAATAAAGTAGGAAACTTGAAACATAAATTTATGATTTTTTTAAAATCAATATTTTTGATAATTTGAAATATATGTCTATCACATGAAGACGTAGCAGACAACAGAGAAATACTAGAAACCCGTTCTTCTTCATTTTCTCAAAATCAAATATTCAAAAACCGAAGAAGCTTCACTTTTAAGTATCTCGTTTTCCAATCTTTTTATTTTCTTCTAGAACCTTCGACCCAATTTCTACAAAAATAGAAACAAACAGATCACTGTAAAATACAACCAAAGGCCAATTAAATACGTCATTTTCTCTTCTAGTTAATAACATCTGTTATGAGATAGATAAAAATGAAAAAAATATATAAGAAAAATATGATAGAGATACCATTATCACAAAGTTTTACGATAAAAGAAAAAAAATGAAAATCGTCGGAAAAGAGATCGAGACTGAACTTTATATCGAAGTCCCTTGTCTGATCGAATTTGTTTTAAAAATTAAGGGAAATCGAGAGAACTGTTGTTTCCATTTAAATGGAATTAGAAAATTTCCATTTATCATTTCTCGGTTTTTGTCATTTATACGATGTTAGAAACTCGTTTCCTCTCTCTTTTTATGTTCTCTGATTCTTTGTTTCTTATTATGAGGATTACATAATTTATTATCTCTCTATCATATGTTTTCTATTTCTCTCTTTCGTTTTCTGTGAAATTCGAAATCTTATTTTTTTAGATTCAAAAATGATTAATCGATTATGGGGAAACTATTTTCGAGTCGTCATTGTGCTTGTCAGTTTTATGTGTCTCGTTTCTGTATGCTCAAATTATATCATCATAAATTTCACATTCATTTGTATGAAGGACGATTTCAGTGAGACGAAAATTTGGAATGGGGTGAGTCTTTCTATATTTTTCAAGAGGAAATTTTGAGAAAGATACCGCTAAACCTACTGTTACAGTAACCAATTATTTATGGAGAAAAAAAATTCAAAAATTCAATAACGACCATATTCCGGCATAGTCGAAACTGAACTTTTTGCAAAATTCTACCGTTACAGTAACCTAACAAAGTTATTACTGATTTGAGAGGTTGTTAACCAACCGCTTAATACAAATAAACAGACACACAGACAGACAACATTCATCTACGTGATTCTTCGTCTGATTACGTATGTACCTTATTTGCATGTGACTACCGATTGATATTCATTAATATGTCAAGTGGATTTATTGACTTCTTGAGAACCTATAGCTTGTGGACTAGTTTCAGATTAGAAAAACGTTGGCATTATCTGCAAAGTACCCTATTGTGAAAAACCACGAAACTAGAAATTTTTGATTCTCACGACTTTTGATTAGAGAATAAAAAATCAGAATTGGAGCTAGAATTGAAATTTTGTTTCAGACGATCCAGCTCATTACCAAAAACAGTGTTCCAATGTTCATATATACGTAGTCCATGACACTGTAAAAACTAGTTTTTATCATCAAAAAAATTTCCACTTCAAGTTTTTTTCCAGGTCCAGAGAGACTGAAAAATCGTTTTTGAATTGGAGAAATTATCCAAAAAAAACTGTTTCGAGCATTTTTATAAGTTGGGACAATTTTCCAGGCAAAAACAATTCAATTCTCAAGGAACCAATATTTTATCGATATAGCCAAGAAATAACAGCAATTTTTCAGTACCGATATATCTCGAAAAACAGTACCGATATATCTCGAAAAATCCCATAAAATTCAAATTTAAAATTGGAATGTTCGAGTCCGCGATCAGTGGGCGCAAATTTCAACTTTTGGTGTTTATTCAGGGTTTTTTTGATTTTCAGCCGCCTTTTTTGCTAAAGTCAACAAAAACTGAGAATTTCCACAGATTTCCGGAATAGAAAAATCTTTAAAAACGCATTTAATCAAATGCTTTTTATTCACTTTATGGCTGCTTTTGATTATATCATGAAATGATTTCTCAAAAATCTTAAAGCAATAAAAGATCAGTGGATTATGGCATTACCATCGCTGTCTTGAATAATTACTTCAGTTCTGAATGTTCAGAAACAGATATTTTTAGTCAATGAAAATAGGAAAAACAAAGACAACCTGTTTTCCGTCAAAATATTTGAATAACTTTAAACCTTATCTCCTACTTGAAACAGTAATTTGAAAAAAATTTCCCATCGTCCCAATTTCGCTTTCAGACCATCAAAAGCGCATATGATTACACTCCAATCGAAAAGAAACACATTCTATGGGCGGTCGCATTTGGTACAATTGTTGGCATATTCCCCATGAACATGTTGTATGTCAGATGTGGAGCCAGGTAAGCATGGAAATTGGATATTCAGATGAAACGTGTTTTCTTCAGATTAGCATTTTTCTCGGCGGGAGTTTTGTCAGCAATCACCACAGGATTGACACCGTGGGCAGCTAGTCAATCGATTTGGGCTCTGGTGGCTTTCAGGTTTTTACAAGTGTGTCCGGTTGAAAACTGTTAAAAATTTAAAAATAAAAATCGGAAAAAAAGTAATTTTGGAAATTTTTAATTTAAACTTTTTAACGGTCTCCGTCTGGATTTAACCACCGTAAAACCTGTATTATAAGGGCATGTTACCAATTTACTCTCTTTCAAGCTCATGTGGCGTCGACATGAACACTTATTACGCATCAGCTCTTTTGAACGAATCATTTTACTTTTGATTTCCAACTTTAATACAAAGATCATGAAACAGATATTTTGATGAAACGTTGATTGATCATTCCATAGATCACTACTGAACACTTACCATTACCCCTCTCTCTCTCTATCATTAATCATTTTCAGGGAGTCGCCTATTCAGCGGATTTCGCCGCCATTGGAATCGTCATCTCAAAATGGGCGCCTCTCGACGAAACGGCCGTTTTCATCTCTACTCTCACCTCTTTCACCTCTATCTCGTCCATCATTACAAACGGAGTCAGCGGAGTGGTGAGTCAAAGAGACGGAGAGAGAAAGACGAGCGGGGAGCGCTTGCCTTGTCTTGCCCCTCGCCTCCCCTCTCTCCCGTCGGTTCCATGGTGTAGCGGTTAGCACTCAGGACTCTGAATCCTGCGACCCGAGTTCAAATCTCGGTGGGACCTATGTCTTTTTGCAGTTTTTTGAAATAATGTTTTGTGGTTTTTTAGATTTGTGAGAGTCATTTGGGGTGGAAATGGAGCTTCTACTTTCATGCTGCTGCATGTCTCGCTGTGTTCATCATCTGGGCATTGGTCTACAAAGATGATCCAACTTTACACAAAAGTGTCAGCGCCAAAGAGCTCGGAAAAATTCAGAGAAACAAATCCGAATCTCACATCAAGGATGACATGGAAATCCCATATGTCAAAATTTTCACAAGTCCAGTTGTGCTTACAGTATGGCTATGTGCATTTACGGAGCTTTCAACATTGATTCTAATTGCCACTTATGCTCCAATTTATTTCAGAAGTGTCCTAGGATTTGATGTAAGTGAAAATATAGTTTTAAAATATAACAAATAATTTAAATTTCAGATCAAAATAATCGGATTCTACCTGGGACTCATGTTGGCGATTCATCTTCCATTCCGATTTGTTTGCGCATTTTTGAGTGACAAAACTAAGTAAGTCGGTTTTTTTTTCGCCTAGACCACAACACAAAAAATTACAGATGCATCTCCGAAATCTCAAAAATCCACATTTTCAACACTTTAGCCGTTGGATGTGTTGGAATATCTTTCATCGTTTTTAGGCAAGTTTCACAGACACAACCATCCTCAAAATCTGAAATGTTTTCCAGTCAAATCCCAGCAGAGCACAATATATCTGCAGTTGTGTGTTTGGCAGTTTTGGAGTGTTTCACCAGTTTCAACTGTGGAGGATTCTATAAATGTGGAACACTGCACGCGAGGTTTGTCTCTTTTTTTCAAAAAAAATTATGTTTCACAAAATTGTCAAAAAGGCTAACATCTTTTCAAAAGTTTGATATTTTAGATGGTTCGTAAAATAACTATCCAAACTGTCTTATACAACAAAGTAAAATTTTCCAGGCAATTCTCATCAATTGTAATCTCAGCAATCCAGTTCACAAAATGCATTTCTTTATTCTCGGGACCGGCTCTTGTCGCATTTTTTGTGACAGATGAAACGAATCAAATACAGTGGAGTTATGTGTTTTTCGTGTTAGCCGGATTCACTTTCTTGGTAAGTTAGGTTTTTAGAAACTTCAAGTTTTTTTACTGTATCAAAGTGTTGTCAATAACATCGAGAATCTACTGTCAACAATTTGTTTGGGCTAAGATCGAGCTTACTCGGAAAACCCTATTCGGAAATTCGAATATCCGATTTTTTCTCGAGTTGTTTTGTACCAGTCGGTTTACGCCCCTTCGGGGCTAAACCTCCTGGCCACCTGTTACAGTACCCGTAATCTTATAAAATATTTCGTTACTTTTGTTCAGGGTCTGTGGAAATTCAGAAATTCAGAGCTTCAGAAATTCCTAACTCTGTAACTCAGAATTAAAATATTTTGGGATTCCGCAAATTAAAATACTCAGAATTTTTTTTAGAGATGAGTGAATACGAATGTTCAAAAGTTCAGACCTAAAGGCTTCAACAGTTCAGACCTACTGTTCAAAAGTTCAGACCTACCGGCCTAAAGCTTTGTGTCCAGTTATATCTATGATCTTCTGCTCATCCGAAATCCGAAATCCCCGAAAAATGCCGTTAAGAGCGAAAAATTTTCAAAAAAAAGTTGCTAGGAGAGACGAGGATTTGAATTCCCGCGCAGTGATAAACCTAGACCACGGCGCCTGACAGCCGTTTTTTCAAGTGACCGACAGTAGTTTTTTTACGTTTTTTACCTGCCGGACATGAATACCGAAAAAATTCGGAAAATTTTCCATGTAAGAAAGGCGCTATGATGCCGTGGCCTAGGTTTCTCACTGCGCGGGAATTCAAATCCTTTTTTTTTCAACGCCGTTTTTCGGGGATTTAGGATTTTTTTTTGAATTTTTTCGCAATAATATTTCGGAAATACATACTTTTTGAAACATTTTAAGGCAATAAAAATTTTTGGTCGGAGTCCCCCTTTAAACTTTGGATAATTCCGAACAAAATTGTTCCACTGATGTATGATAATTTAAGAGTCATTCCATTTGACCAATGAATCTTGAGTCTTTATGAAAATCTAGAAATTCGCATTTTTTGGCAGTATTCGTGATAATAAGACGAAGTTTCAAGCTCGTTCACTTCTCTGCTTTTGAAACAAAAAATAGGAGAACTTCAAATTTTCTGAAAAAAAATCTGTTTCGACAAACTTTCAAATCTTGCGTCATCCGTTTATATCCTCATTAGGTTGACAAATTGTTCATGGCAAAAAACTGAAATGTACTTTTCGGAATTATTTTGAAAATTTTAATTCAAAAAAATCTGTTCGAACAAATTGCCAAAACCACTATTTTTTATTAAAAATTTCCGTTGTACTTTTTTAAAGAAATTGTATTTTCCTGGGGGAATTATATGAAAACAGAGAAAATGTTTTATTCCCTGTCAAGTTTCGGATAGTTTAGAATAAAACTCTTTTATTACAAGAAATCTGTCTCGACATTTTGTGCAACTCATTTTTTTCTAACTATTGACAATGTGAGTTTTGTAACTGCACTATAAATAAATTTTAAAAATCGAAACAAAAAAGCGGAGAATGGATCAAAGTCTACGAACAGTATTATGAACTTTTTGCAATAAAATATTCTGTGGATTTTTAAAAAATCAGAGAGAAATGTTGTTGTTTCTTGATAAATTTCGGGTGATTCAAAAAAAATGTTTCACAAAACTATAATAGTTAGGTTCATTCATTCCACCAATTCAGTGTTAGCACTACATTTTTCCTGTTTTCTAAAGTTAAAAAAATTGAAAAAATTGGAAATTCCAGCAGTATTCACTGTGTTGGAGTCCGAATTTCGAAAACATGAGAAGCTATCTTTATTTGAATTTCAATAATTTTGAAAATTTCTACTGGATAGTCATTAATTTTTATTTGTAACCTTAAAATGTACCCCTTTTCAGGCGAATATTCTCTCCTTCATTTTCTTTACGGATCAACCAGCAAAATGGACGGAAGACGGAGGCGTTGTGAAGTATTCAAAGGAGAAGGAAATCGTGAAAATCTAGAATCCCTCTTTTGCTCTTTCTCGTTTTCCATCTCCTTCTTCTTCTTCATCCCATCCAATTCAACTAATGAGAAGAAAGAATCTTCTTCTTCTTTGCTATAAGAATCCCAATGTTTTTCTACGAATAGATAGAAGAGTAACCGAGCAAAATGAGTCAATTCCCTCTTCTTTTTCTCTCTTATGCATTTATCATTTTTTTCAAACACTAGCATATTCTTCTTTTCTTACGCTCCTTCTTTTTCTTCTTTTTCCTTTTTCTAGATTCTCCTTTATTATTTTTTGCCCCCGTGAGAAACAAACTCTCACTAGATCGTCTTCTCTTTCTTCACGTGATTATCATAGTTGATGAGTGTAGAAGAATACGTTGATGAGACACAAAAAACCGCCCCCTCTTCTCAAAAAATCAACAAAAAAGGACTTTGCTTTTTTGTACGTCATGTAGATTGTCTAAAGTCCATCTGAGTACTTTTTCTCTCTTTTTAAATGTTGAAACTACGGGTTCTAAAGTGTTCATTTTCCATGTTTTACATTTTTCACTGTTGCACAATATTGATAAACGTTTCATTGAGATACCGCTATTTCTTTCAAACAATTCACAAAAAAAATGTTGGTCCACTTTTCCTGATACCGTGTTGCTTATCACAGCAATGCAAGTACAGTATATTCTTTCACTACTGAGCGCGTTTACGTTGTATTTTGGAAAATTTGCCCTGTTGCCTAAAAAATTTGCCAAACTACCTCGATTCCTTTTAAAGATCAAAAAGTGGTCATTTGATAAAATATTGGTGCTATTATGATAAAAAATTTAACAGTCGACAAATTTTTGATCGCTCACAGAAAGTGAGATATTCGAGCTCAAACTTGACGCTTTGTCTAGACTTCTTTCGGAGGAAATACGGTATTTGGATTTGTTCAATTTAAAATAGTTGTTTTAAGTCTTGAAAAAGTTCGATTTGTCTGAAAATTCCAGAGTGTATTAAACAGAATGAGATCTTCAGTTTTGAAATTGGCAGATCTGTACGAAACCATACAAAGCTAGAAAAGCAGTTTGAAAATATCACCATTTTCACTTCAATGCTAATTTTCTACATTTTTGGAATTTTTTTCGGCTACAGACTGCATTACTCCCCAGAAAATAAGTTTATTTTATGTTTAGTGTAACCTGGATCTTTCAGCGATGGCAAAATATTGGAATATTTGACTATTCTCCACTGAAAGAATCAGTACAACATTATGGCACCATTTGGTTTGGTACTGTAGCTCTCTAGTAAGGAGTCTCTACTGATGCCAGGAATGATTCGTTTCGATTCCAAAAATTTGGTTTTTTTCAGTTTCATATTGAATGAAAGTTTGAATCAGAATTAGTGCTTATTGCCGGACATACTAATGAAACATCACTAAAATTTGCTTTCAGTTAGTATCAAAAGTTCATTTGAATAATGTACAATCAATAGTCTCTTAACAATGAGTAATTTATATATATAGAACTTGCTCTTGAATACTTCTTGCTGAAACAGTAACTTTTTGAAAGTTTTTTGGATATTCCCTCTTTTTAGCATACATGTGGATGGCCGGGCCGGCCATCCTTGCTTCAAAACCTTCGGCCCGGCCCGGCCCGCTCAGCCCGCTCAGCCCGCCCAGAATAAATTTTCGAAAATTTTACTTCTCAAATGTGCCAAAATATTTGTTATAGCACAAATATTAATCCAAATGCATACAACCATCCGAAAAAGTCAATTTAATTTAATTTTTAGTAGAAAAAATCAAAATTTATTAAGCCAAAGATGAAAATTTTTTCTAATTACGACCTCAAATCATTTTTTTCACAGAATCAGCCTCTAGTGTGGATTTTCATTTATTAAGAAGAAAATAAATACTTTATTAAGAAGAAAATAAATACATTCGCTCTAAAATTTCGAAATTTTCCAAAAGCGGGCCGGCCATGTGTTAATTTTTCCGGCCCGGCCATCTTTTCCACAAGTATGCTTTTTAGTATTATGTACTTGTAAAGTATTCTTTACAGTGTTAAACAGAAAGTATCAACTAAAACATATCGTTATTATAAACCGGTTAGTAACTTTTTTCGACATGATCAACAAAATGAAATATGATCGAAAAGTGACAGGAGGGTAATAAATCAGTCTGGTCACTTCCGTTGATTCGTCTTTTGGAAAGTCATGAAGTAGGATAGGAGATCCGTAAACATTAGTACTGATTTCGAGTCATCAGTTTTTTTTCAAGGCGTTGTATCATTGAAAACTGAAGCCGTGGATGGTATTCCCACGTCGAGGGTACGGTCGAAATGCTAGACTTTTGAGTAGGGTTTCCATTTGGGAGGGGGCTCCCCCCCGCGAATATTTACGTGAGGAAAATATTATCTTTTTTGTAGTTTTTTGATTTGAGAAACTCAGTTTTTCCTGGAAAATACGTGATTATCCTTAAAAATTTTATTAAAATTCACACGCATTTAATTGCGGTGGGCCGCAGGAGGCCGCGGGTGGGAGCCCCCGGGTGGGTAGCGGGTAGCCCGCTTCTTCACCCGCCCAAATGGAAACCCTACTTTTGAGAATATTGTGAAACACAAAAATAAAATAAAAAATTGTTGAAGTTACTTCGTCCAATGGGAGAATTCAAATAAAATTTAGATTTTGTTGTAAAAAATGCTCGAAATTTGTAGGTCTACTAAACAAAAATAGAGCTTCAATTTTGTAGTTGACAACTTTTTTGTACCAATTCACACAAAATGAGATATACCGATTGAAACCAACGAAGTGCCAAAAGTCCTGAAATAGTGTGACGACTAAACATGTTTGAAGTCTTTAAACTTACCGTATTTCCTCTAGTACACACTCAAACCGTCAACGTCGAGCTTAATTATTTCAGTACTTGTGAGAGATATTCAACTGATAAAATATTACTGATTTTATGATAAACATTTTATCAGTTGACAAAGTTTTGATACCTTTCCCATGAAACGAGATAATTGAGCTCAAATATGACGGGTTCGATGGGATTCTATGAAAGGAAACACGGTATTCTATACCAGAGACTATGTCAGAAATAATAATGGAATTCGGAAACTTAGATAAGGCAATCAAAAAACCAATAAATTTATTGTTTCCCTCCCTAAATTTTCCTCTGATTGTTCTATAAACAGTAGACTACAACAATTAATTAGCCTGCAACATTTTCGTCTCTCTCTCGTCTGAAAATTTTTACACTTATTCTTTTTCTTTTTGCCTTCTACTCAATGTTCGTGTTTTCTATTGTCCTCTTCTCCTATTCTTGTCATTTTGATTCTTATCATGTTCTCATGATCTTCTTCTTTCTTCTTTTTTCAATTGTTACTTATCATCATAAAACTTGTCAGTTCTTTTATCTAACTTTCAAAACCCATTTGAAAGAATAAAAAGAAGAATTTCTGTTCATCAAACAAATTTTCGAAAGAGAGAATCAGAATGAGTTTTATAGCTTTCTAGGAGACGCGAATCACAGATCAAGGACTCTGTAAAATGTTGAACTGAAGACTAAATTGGGAAATTTTATTTGGGATACCAAACTAAAAATAACAGAGATCGCTTTTCTGAAGTTTAAAAATTTTTAACATTTCTGAACGTTGTGAAATACTGACCAATATTTACGAGATCATTTTCACTTTTTTACTCCGGTAGAAAGAGCTAATCTTCGTGAAAGTGGGAGTACATGGAAAAATATACGTCTTGAAATCTTTTCTAGAAAAATCTTGAGGAGTCCGAACTTCGTAGGAATAATTAGGTTTGCTGCATCGCTGCCGACTGAGCTATACGGACGAAAACTTCGACTGCCGACGGAGAGACTAACAAGAAGTACTGTAGCGAACGGGATGAGTAAAATGTGTAAGCAGCGTTCACTGTACACTGCTGCGTAAAAATGCATACGGAAACTTGTAAAATGTTTGAATGCGAAAAAATATATGGGGTTCAACGATTCGCTGTTTCACAAAACTGTCAAACTCCCGACGCTCTGTTTTTCGTAATATGGCTCTTCATTTCACGTTATAATTATAATTCAGCATCCCTTCTTTTTTGAATGTTTTTTATTATTTACAAGACACTGTCAAATCAGGTTCTATAAAAATATTACAGTACAAATTTTTAGTTTGTACTTATTTTAAAACGAAAAGTACATGAAAAAAACAAGTGGTAACTGATCATTTGGAACTTCTGGGACTGTGGGTATTTCATCTTTAATCCAACATACTTTTTCTGTTTCCGAAAGTTATCATTTGGAAAAATATTTACTTTAGGTATTAGGTCAACGGTTCATTTTTTTGTGCAAGGAACACCTAAGAATTCCGAGTTCCAAGTTTAAAACTTCTATTTTCTTCTACGAATAACATCAACGTTCCAAGATCACCAAACCACACACAAATAGCGAGAATTCGCCTAATCAAAACTATTAACATTCAGATTCCTCTCATTTTGGTCATTCTCTCGTTGATATATTTTTCTTGACCACCACAGCTGTATCGGGATGATCTAAATTTCAATTTTCGAAAAAAAATTTTAAGGAAATTTTCATGAATTTTTCATGAGTTCAACTAACGTAGTCAAATTTCTATATGTTTCGAAAAGGTTTTGAAACATTAATTTTTTAAACCTATGTTTTCAGTAACCTAACTTTAATGGTTTGGAAATGAGACTTCCATACTGTATTGATAATTTAATTATAACTAATTCAATTTTTTCAAACAACCAAAAAAATTCTTCCCATATTTTGAACTCCCGCCGGATCACCTGACCCATTCCTTATTTCACCCTTCTGAAATTCCATTTAGTCACGTGGTGCAACACCTTTTCACCTAGTAATGTGTACAGTACTACATTCTTCTAGCCTAAAAGTCGTTATTCTGTTATCTGACCTTCTCGATATCTCCCCTCGTGGTCTTGATTTTATGTTCTTTCTGCTTGACTCCGCCCCCTGTTTTCGGACACACCACGCAGACAAAAGTGATACTTTAAAAGTGAGAAGAGGAAGGTATATATGCGTTATTACATGGGTTTTTTTGTGTAAAAGTTACTAAAATGTAAGATACGAATTAGGCTCCGCCCATTTTTCAGTGGTTACTTATTGATGTTCAAACTGTAATGGATATTTATTAAGCGGCATTCGAAAGTATTATTTTAAAAAACAATGGGTGGTAAGGCGTTTAAATTTCAGTTTCAAATGTTTTTTAATTTAATAATTTAGGATTAGTCTTGGCTAAATCTTGTACATATCTTAAGAAAAATTCAAAAATTAGTGAAACGTTTTTACTGTTTCCAAGATGTGTTAAATCAGAATTTTTTGTAAATTTTACAATGAGGATGTTGGATTCTTCTGTAATTAACTTTTTCTTTCTTCTGTAATTAATTTCTTCTGTAATTAACTTCTGTAATTAACTAATTTTGTTCTGTAATTAACTATTTTTTTTTCTTCTGTAATCAACTAATTTTGATTTAGCTCGTGAGCTACATTTTTGTCATTTTTGGAAAACACTGTAATTTGAATCTTCGTTGATACTGCACCTCTATACTTTGATTCCCATATTTTTTGAACTCACAAACCACCATTTTTTAAATATTCAAATTCGCTATTGTTTTTATTTTTCTCCTTCTTTGACTTCCCCATTTTTACTTCCGTCCTCTCTATTTCCCTATAAAACACTTCCGGAAATTTCACTGTCTCACAAAAATGACATATTTGATACTTTCTGAGCTCCCCAATGCTCCTATATCAACCAATAAGTTTTCAGCCATGGACCAACGTCACATCAATGAAAAAGGGATGTCGATCCTTGTAACCGCCCTGTTTATAGTCGGTGAAACCGCCGGCGGAGGCTTAATTGCTCTTCCAACGGCAATCGTGAGCACTGGTGCAGTTACTGGAGAATTTCTCCTTTTCCTCGCTGCTATTATATGCACGTATACTGGAACGTTGTTGGCTGAAAATTGGATAATCCTTCAAGAATTGTATCCTGAATACAGGGATCATTGTAGAAAGCCGTATCCAGCTATGGGACTTCGAGCCATTGGACCAAAGTTTGCGTGAGTATGGTGGGAAAGCAGCAAAGAAATTAGTCGAGAATCTTTCTACCACATTAATGAAAAAGTAAATCTTTTCACTTTTAAAGTGGAAAGTAACAGTTTTTTGTGTAAAATAGGTCATTATCGGCAAGAAAGTCAGTCAGATTTCAGAATTTCGGTCAACCTGCCCGAACCTTTGTTTTGAAATAAAACTTCCAAAAAATTCGAATGTCGAAAAAAAGAACTATGACCTGATTTTCTAAACAAGAATTTTCTAGGCCACCAAAGTTTATAAAAGATGAATAGTTTAACAGTCTACTGATGCGTTTCTAACATTTTCTGTAATTTACCATTGTAGTCTAACTTTCCCAATATGAATTTTCTAGGACACCATTGGAAATTGACCTAGCAAACATACAAGTTAAATTCAATTCTAGATCATATACTCTGGCGACCTAAGAAATTCATGTTGAGAGAGTTAGGTCCCCATGGGAAAAGAGCTAGAACTCACATTAGATATATTTTAGACCATTTCTAGGTCATAAACTTTTGTGGCCTCGAAAATTGAATTTTAGAAAGTTAGGCCGCTTTGACCCAATCTCATAAAAAATAATTTGAACATCCTTCGCAAAAATGAGTACGTTAGAGCACATTTGCGTTTCTTTATGAAGTCTTCAGGCCCTATTATGTATAATCACCCAGTAAGTTAGTAATATCGTATGTTCCAATCAAGTACATACATGATATTGTTGAAACTGCAAACATTTTTCCATACCTTGAAACATGTAACATGTCATTTTGTTGTCCCAAGAAATCTCCATTACAGGGGCTCTTTATTTTTTCATGCAGTTTTTCGGTATATTTATACAAAAAAGGGTTATTTCCTGCTCAAAATTCATGTTATCAATTTCATAAAGTGCTTCAACGATAGACCTATTAATTTTTTTCTGAAAATGTGCAAAAAACATGAGTTTCAATCACCCAATTTTTTTTCATTTCCAAGCCCTCTCGGATGATCTTTTTATAAGAGACGCTCGACTACTACAGATTTTACGATATGGTTTTTTCTCGCTGTTTCAAACTGTTGTCAAATCTCAAAACTATTTTGCTTATGTCAATCCCACTTGCTCTCAATTAACACTTACTTGATTTCATTCAAAAGCTCAATATTTCAGTCATTTCGTCTCCGCCATCCTCCAAGTGACTCAATTCGGAACTGCTGTTGTTTTCGTGCTCCTCGCTGCCAAAAACGGAGAAAACATGCTCCACGCAAACTTTGGAACTCATGTCAGCTTCTGTTACATGATTCTTATCGTCGGACTTCTCGTCTTCCCATTTACTCTTCCTAAATCCCCCAAAGATTTCTGGTACGCTGTAGTCGCTGCTATGATATCAACTACAGTATCCGTAGTTTTAATTATCATCGGATCAGTGAAAGACTACGAAGTTTGCAATAAGGACGTCTTCTATCCACCATTCAATCTTCCAAAAACATTAATGTCTTTTGGTACAATCATGTTCTCTTATGGAGGTCATTGTGCATTCCCAACTATTCAACATGACATGAAAAAGCCACATCATTTCTCCAGAAGTGTCATTATTGCATTCATCATCATCTTCATATTCTATTTGCCAGTTTCAATGAGCGGATATTTTGTCTATGGAAGTTCCTTGACAGATTCAATTATTCCTTCTATTCAGGTTTGTGTTGGAAATCATTTAGCTCAATTTATAATCCATTAATTTTTAGAATATCAACATTCAAACTACCGTAAATCTCTTAATCAGTCTTCACGTCTCTCTGGCTCTCACTATCACCTTCAATCCATTGAATCAGGAATTCGAAGAGGTTTTGAATATGTCTCATGGTAAGGATCCAAAAAATGGAACCCTGAAATCCAAATTCAATTTTTGAGACTTTGGCTGGCAACGAATTGTGTCCCGTGCCCTTGTTATGATCTCTGTTGTCTTCGTTGCCGAATCGGTTCCAAATTTCGGAGTGCTTTTGGATCTTGTCGGAGGTTCTACAATCACTTTGATGGCTTTGGTGCTTCCAATTCTGTTCAATTTATCACTAACCACAATTCGTAAAAAGAGGGAAAATAAGGAGGAAGAGGAGAACATCTCATTTAAGGAGATTTTCCAAAACTCGGATAAAATCAAATTATTGGCGAATATTTTGATTTTGGGTGAGTTTCTGTTTCACATACATTAGTTCCAGTTGAATGGCTTACGTTATTGCTCTTTTCGAAACTATATCTATTTCAGTATTCGCAACACTGGGCGGAGTGGCTGCTACCGTATCCGCAATGCAGACAATGCTCCAAAGTGAATTCAGTGCTCCGTGCTACGCGAAACTTTGGAGTGAAGAAGCACAACTTTTGGAACAACAAAGACAGATGACTTTTGAGTAAGTTACAGTTTTCACTGTTTCGAAATTGTCTGTTAAATTCTGGGTTACTTTTAGAAATTTAATCCGCTGTCTTCAGTTCGATAAATATATTTCCAGACACGGTAAAATCGCGTGCTGTGGAATGTTCCGGAACATCTCTGCGATGGGATCCGAGATTTGTCTCAATGCCGCATCGTTAGTCAAAGTTGGAGCTGAATCTCATGGATAAAAATGAAAAATCTACAACTGCTATGTAGATATTCTTTAAATCACTTCAGGTCGACTACGAACAATTAGGGTTTTCTTCATTTGTTAAACGGGTTTCTTTAAATTTAAAAATTGTATAATACATTAATAATTTTGATTTTGAATTCTGAATTTTTTTAACAAAAAGAAAACAGAGGAAAAACGTTTGACCACTGAGCGGATCGAACGCCCAACCTTTCGATCTGGAGTCGAACGCGCTACCATTGCGCCAAGCAGTCACGTTTTGAATTTCGGTCAGAGAGCATACAAACCAAAAGTGCAGAGAGGAAAACAGAGAGAAAGGCAAAGTAGGGGGAAAAGGTGTGGTTTGTGGCTTGTTTAGTTGAACAAGTTAGTTTTTACTGTTTTTTAAAGTTTTCAAAGACTTTTGCGAAACTTTTTTTTTGTTAAAAAGCTTCCAAATCCTGGCTATAATAACTGTTGCTTTGCACGACTTGATTGGGATTACAAAAACAAAAAAATTGTTGAAAATCAGTGAAAGTCGATTTGAACCCCTTCAAAGAAAATAGTTGAGGTTACGGTAGTTTTCGTTCAGGGACCTTTGGCCGCAAAGTTTGTCTTGTCCATGGCACCTATTTTTCATACCTGTGACTTGCACACAATCTATTAAGCTCATTATTGAAAACTTTATTTTTCATTAAATCATTTATACACAATAGTGACTAAAGAATTGGCTTGAATCGTCAAATCATAGATGACATTTGGTGCCAAGACATCACTTACTGCTACCTCGAAATCGAGTACCTGAAATTTTCTGTTTCAATTAACAATTTTTAAAGTTTGAGAAATAAAAAGTGCGTTGCGCTTTTCGAACTCTGACCTCATTCTTATTCAACAAAACCACCGTTTTGGTACCATCTGCATTCAGGAAGGAGAGACCCTCCACATCAACAGATTTCTCGATAATAGTAGTTTGAATCCGAGTACTTCCTGGCTTGATAAACTTGCTGAATTGAGCCATAACATGCCAAATCGGTTGTTTGTAGTATTCTTGAGCAGTAGCATTTACGATGAGAGTTGCATCGACAAAGTTTTTGACAAGGTTTGGACCGCCTGGAAAAAAGATTACAGTTTCAAATAAGACTTTTTCCGTAGAATTAATAACAATTTTTGCTGCGTTTACATCAGTAAACTGAATTAGGAGAAATTAGTTTCGTTTTGACTTTCCAACCCAATTCACCTTGCAAATCGAGCATATAATTCCAGTCGACCCATCCTGCAACCCAGTTTCCAATGTCTTTAATCAGATCATTTGCATATTGCTCAGCTCTAGACCATGATCCTAACTTCGGTCCCAAGGCTGGCTCGTATCCAGCGCATGCTTCAGTGGCCAATATGAAGTAATCCGGATAGAGATTATGGGTTTCTGTGACTACGGTAGCGGGATCTATGAAATCTTCATACCAATGGAGCGCGATTCCATTGACGTATTGTGCAGCCATGGGATCGGAGAGGATCTGTGGAAATTTGGATAATTTTAATGTTTCACGACATTTTCAAAGCGATTCTAAAAACTGGAAAAGAAATACCAGGTTCCACCTAATACCAAATAACGCAAAAAAAAACTCACAACTTTCGGCCAATGCGGCAAATTGATTCTCTGATCATCATTAATCATAATTTTCATATTCTTGGTGACTGGATTGGCAGCCAATGCTGGTCCCAATAGTTTCTTGATAAAATTACGCTCCATTGAAGCATCAAAGTACAAAGTTTGCCACTTCCAGAACGGATCGATTCCCGTAGTTGGCTCATTTTGAGGCGTCAGAGACCAGAAGTCAATTCCTTGGGCGTGATAGGCTTCGAAGAATCTGAAATGTTTTTTTTTCTGTTTCAATTTGAAAGTTATTGGTTTCGAACAGGTGCTCTAGAGTGATCTTTCTCTAGTGAGTTTACTAGGTCAGCTAGTATAAATTTCTCCAAATAATTATCATAAACCTTCAAAAAATATTAGAAGGAATTTAAGACATTGCATTCGCCTAGAAAGCTAATCTTTGGAAAGTCAGATTTTATCAATAGTTTCTAACACTGATTCTTACTTGACAAAATACTGTGCCCATGTCTGATAATATTTTCCATTTTGATCTCCAATCAATTCTCCTGCTCCAATCATCCGTCCCGACGTCTTCATCCACGCAGGCGAGCTCCATGGCGTTGCGAACAGCTTCAATTTCCCGTTCGAAACTGCCATTGCCTTCTTGATGAATGGAATCTTATACTGGAAATCTTCCATAGTCAAGTTAAATTTCGTGAGCTGAAAATCAAATGCAACATCGTCATAACTGTATTCATGGGTTGAAAAATCGCAAGAAGCCATTGGAACTCTTCCAAAGACGTAGCCAAGACCTGCAAATAATACTTTTGAAAACCCAAAAATGATGAGGCCTACCGTCATCAGAAAAATACTGCTGAATAATTTGATCCTGCATCGCTTGTGGCAAAGTCAGCATGTTGATTCCAGCTGCATCAGTAAAGGCAGCACCAAATCCCATGATTTGTTGGTAGGTTTGAGTTCCATTGACGTAGACTTTCGTTTTCGCTGAAATCGTAGAGCCATGAACCATGTACCAAAAATGTATTATGAGTATGCAATTTTGAAATGAAGTAGAAACAGTTAGTTTACTTTTTCTGTGACGACTTTTTATAGTTTTTCCAAAAATTTTGCAACTCGAGATGATGTATTTTTACTATTTCAGTCAACTTATATATTTCAAAAAAGTTCGGAATAATTAGTTCGCAAAACCAGCACCAATAATACGGAATCGTAAAATTACCATTGCAATTGGAATTGTTCATGTAAATGGGAAATAGAAGCGAACGCCCAAAAAAAGAGATATGACATTTCCTTTGTTTCCGTTGGTAGGTAACAATGATTCAACAGGATTTTGACAATGCGACACAATAAAATTCCTTTTTGACAGAATAAGATTCCCACTTAAAATCATAGTTGCAAACGGGCCGGCCCGGCCAGATGGCGGTCCGGCAGATAACTCGGCTTCAGAACAAGATATTTCGACGGATTTGATATCAAATGATAGATCTCGACGAGGTCCATCTTAACTGTACCATACGGGCCGGCTTCAGGT